TAGAACGCGAGAAGATACAGCTTCACCATGAATACGGCAATTGGTTGAGCTTTAAATATAAGCCGAATCAAAATGGCGTTTTCGGCACCAATAATTCGCGAGAAGGGCGTTTATGACCACAAAAACGCGTTTTCTTGCGGAATAGACTTCAAGACTCGGGAATGGCAACGAATTTTTCGCGTTTAAGACGCAACTGAAATGAATTTATCACTTTTTGGCGAGAAATGAAATTTGAAAAACGCGTTTCACTTATTCAAAATTTATGAGATAGTTTCTTGGACACGTGAAATTCGTTTTGTAGACTGAAGTCGGGAAATTAGGGACTTCTGTAACAAATAATGAGTGCAAAAGGCGGTTTTTAATGCAATGAAACGCGACCAACACGAGGTTGGCTCAAGAACCGCGGAAAAACGAATTTTCTATGAAAGTTCGAAAAAACACGAGTTTAGCTTTAAAGTATTAGGCGAAACTCTGTTAACGAAATATTTAGTGCGTTTAACGTAACCTATGATTACGTCAACCGCGATTCTCGCGCTTTCTTTTTTCAAAAGAATTTCTCGCGGTAAATTTTTCGTAAACAGAGTTTTTTTCCATATATGTACGCAACTTTGTGTAAGTATACTACTAGAACTTCATAGAGGCACATGGCCAGAGTTGTGAATTCATTTGAAAAATATGACAGGGCAATAACAAAGAAAATTTATTGCTCACTGAAAAAATTTCTTAATCCTCGTTGGGACGAAGGAGTTTGCAGAAAACCTGTGGATGTCAGTTATATCCTGCAGGATTTTGGAACAAGTACGTTAAACTCAAAATATTAATGTATATACTTTCTAGAAGTTTATCGGACACGAGAAAAGTTTTTATAACTTTACAAGAAAAGATGCAAAAGTACTTAAATTTCTAAAAGAAAATACAGACAAGTTCTTCTACGGTTACCCTGGGCAGACATTGATGAGAAAAGATTGCACTGCCGCAAGATAGACAAAGGGGAGAAAATCCTTTTCTTCCAATCAGTAAAATCCTACCAGATCTCGTAGAAAAAAAAACTTGTGAACTAAATATGTCAGAGAGTCCTGCGATGTTTCTTACCTTTACGAAGGATCAAAATATTTTTACACCCCTCACCCTTAGCGTTTAGTCTTTCTTACTTCTTTTCCTCCTTCCAGTTTTTTGTTTCATATTCTGTACTTAAATTTTATTAATTACATGAACATTCATAATAATCAAAAAACCACGTGACATAGTGGAATACAAATGAGTGATACAAATGCTTGATGACCGTAAGGTTCTGATTTACTTCAATAATCGTATACATCCAATATTACTTCAAAGTTAAAGTTGTCTCTATCGACAATGTTACGTCTCTCATACCAATAAAACATAATTAACTCAGCAAATTCACTTCCTAAACTATTAAATTTATTGCGGACCTATGATTTTCCGATCATTATATGACAAATTACCAACGGGGTATAGACTTTCGAGTCCGATTTTGTTCTTCCAACTACGTCACTTCCGTAAACAAAAACAAAATCTTCATTCACTTCCATAAGCAGAGTTTTCGCGCACAACATAAATTATACCTAACAGCCTTCTACATCAAAACTTTTAATATTAGTTTTATGATGTTCAACTTTTATTCTTCACCATGATCATCCAAAAGTGATCCTGTGGTCAAAAGTCTTGCACAACGAAGGTGAAATTTCGAACGGACGCCATTTTTAAAAAGTACATAAGAAAGCAAGAGAAAGAGATCTCTCTTTCTTTGTAGTTTTTAATGATGATATTCAAGATTATAGCATTAATCTACGTCAGAAGAACTAGAATTTTCAGTCTGTGGTGCAATACTTGAGCATTGAAAAGTAGGTTATCAAAACTGTGGTGATACCGCAAAAGAGAGAGGGAGAGAAATAAGTCAAAAAATGGTATATAAGACCCATCAACATGCAAAGTTATCATTCACAAAATACTATACTAATAACTAGTTCATTATTTAAAACGAAAAATATCTATTAACTCAATGATGAAAGTGTTATTTGTTGTTGCGTTGACATTATTTGCAAGTATGTTTCGTTTTTCACAGCAAAAGATGATATACAGTGATGCACTCACTCACTTTCTCTTTTGTTGTTTATAGTTGTTCACTATAGCACTGCCCTAACATGCTACTCATGTACCAATTGTCCAGATCCATTTAATCCTGCACAACCCGGTGTTAGGAATATCACTGCTGGTGCTGGTCAGTCTTGTAAGGTATTAGACAAATAGTATGCTTCTTTTATTTCGTTAAAAAATACAGTTATTCTTGCTGTTTCAGAAACAAAAAGGAAAAATCCTCGGATTTGAAGGTGTCAGCCGAACGGCAGAGGCATGTGGTACAAATAAGTGTGAAAAAGTTAGTCTTTTTGGTCAATCGTCAACCGTATGTTGTTGTAATACAGATATGTGTAATGGTGCGAGGCAAACAACAATAACAACATTAATGGTTGTTGTTATTGCATTGGTTATTGCAATAATGAATATGTAAAATGAACGCCTGTGAACTCAGTTTTTGTTTTAGGCTGAATTTTCAGCCTATTTTTTTGTAAACTAAATAACGTAATATTCAATTATAAATATTGAACAATACTATATGATCTAACCAGGGGCATCCGAAGTATAAGAAGCATGGAGGGGTTCTTCGATTTCGAAGTACTCGAAAAATTTTAAAAATGTGAGTAAACATCTGATTTGTCTACAAATACGCAAGTTATACAAAACGCTCTGAGACATAACGCCGGTAAATTGACACTGTAACGAGTTTGCGTTTGCCGCAAGGTCAAAAAGCGAAGATTTGCTTCTGCTTTCTCATGCAGTAACACGGATAGAGAGGACAATAAGGGCAAAAAGGACAGAAGGACAACAAAGACAATATGTTAAAATTCCTATCAAGAAAGGGTCGCGTGCGAAGGATAAAGAAGAGAAATATTAGAATTACTCAAGCATTGTTTGACTGATTGAAATTAACCAACGATGGCTAATTTCAACCAATCCATATAGAGACACTAGGACGCAGACGCAAAATGCCCTTAATACTCACAAACGGCCAACACTATCCACCATACGTTAACAGCTTTGACCCAGGCAACACGGCAAAAGCAGGTGTCGATTCAAGACAGAAATATCAATACTTTAGCACTAAACCAAAGGTCAGAGTCTTTCATCTTCATTTCCACATACTGTTATCTTTATATTAGCATATGCCAAATGAATGGTGCTGATTGCTGATCTCAATTCCAGAGCAAAAACTTTTCGGATTGGGGAGTAAAATTTCAAAACGCAGGAAGAGGGATCTGCTCTCTACTCGTGTTATCGGGACAATCCTGGATCTAGCAAGGCGTGTCATCTGGCGTTTTTCTCCATTAGTTACAAAAATGTAACATTTTCTCTTATCGTTTAAATAGCGAGATGGTGCTTATACCGTTTTCACTGGAGCCCTTACGTTTATACTACAAATAGTGAAAAATTTATTCGTTTACATTTCTTTTCAATACAAATTGTGCTGTTAGTCCGTATTTATTTGTTAGTATGCGGCTAACATGTGGAAAGGAAGTCCGTGAAGCACCAGCATGGCCTGCTTTTATGTAAGTCGACATGGGTAACAAAGTGATGAAAGAAAACCAGGAAAGGTCCGCCCGCTCATTCTCAACCATTAACTGAAGAAATGCGACCAGTAACCATTATCGGTTGTGCTTGTAATGGGTGAGTTCTGTGAAGAAATTCATCATTGTTCTGTTTCTAGAGCACTACAGTATCGGTTATTTTCTATTATTTATAACCGGCACATGTCTATATGTGACTTGAAAAATGACGGAACAGATGATCAGAATGACATACTCAATCCACTAAGGGCAAATAACAGATATTAAATTCGCCCTTTAAGTCAAGACGATGTAGAATTATGTGTGGTTTTTTTCTGGTTTTGGCGGTTGACCGGCAGCAGTGGAGAACTGCGAAGTATAAAGAAACACTCGAATTTATCGATTCACTAACATAAAATCAGATATTTCTTTGACAGTAGTAAACAGGTGGTATGTACTAACTCCTAATATAATTTTAGTGGGCGTTAGTATTATCAGTTTAGACTGCAGGTGGCTTTTAAAACGAACTGAAGTTATTTTTTCGTTATTCTGGAGCTGATAAAGCAGGTCCAGAATTACTTCAATTGAGATAATTTCGTAATCGCTGCATGTGTCTTAATGGAGAAATTCCAATCAGTACTATCAAAGTGGTACGCGCAAAGTAAAACAAGTTTTACTCAACGAGGAACACACACATTTCTGTTTGAAAATTAGCTTGTCTTATAGAGAATTTTTGTGTACTTGTCAGCCGTGTGTTTATCAAGTTGAGATGTCGTTTCTATATGGCTAAGAGTACGGTAATGTCGACTAAATTTCATGATATAAAATTATCATTGTGGTTATTTTTCCACGTTGCCTAGCTCTGAGATTATAAGCTATAGCTTCGTCGGGCATGATGGCTCTGTCTAACAAATACTTTTCGCCAAGTTTTTCTAATCCATGATTTAATTGTGAGAACCAGGGGTTGCATATTATCTGCTTTTTATTGCACCCTGTAGTAGCCAGTGCATAGACCAACTGTAGCCGGTTACCTCTATTCGTTTCGTTCTTCGCCATAGATGCGTAGATGACGGACGGGTCAAACTGAGTAGTGCAATTATCACTAAATATACTGCGTTGACCCAGTTCAGATGATTTAATCTTGTTGAGCGAAATTGTTTTTGAACATTCTTCGCGTCAGGAATATGTTTTTCGGTTTAAGATTTGAATTGGTTTTGGTAGTAGTTTTTAATAAAACGTGTGCTAAGAGAGACTTTTGTATTCTTGTGTCAGCCTAGATTAAATTCACTGCGTACGGGCCAGCCAGTAGATAGACTTAAACTTTTTAATGAAATTAATAGCCAATGTGTTGAGAAATAGTTTGGTAAAAATGCTTTTTTTTGTTATGTTTTACGGTTAAATAAAAAGCAGAGAAGAAGCGGAAAAAACAATGACTTTTTGTTTTAAATGTCACGCGAGATTTTGAATTTTATTATTTTAGTTCCTAACCGGTTGTCACACTTGTAAAGGTCCAGTAAAGGTCACTTTTTTATCCTCTTTTTCAGACCTGACGATAAAAGTTTCTGCGCTTTAGGAGCTCTCCTTTTGTGAGAAAACTGCATTTTAAGCAGAAAATGTCATGCAAGATTTTTTAAGTGAAAAATGTCCTGCGATGTTATTCATCGGCGGAATAACATGTTATGTTGGTGTTTTAAATTACAAATGGAGGTACGTTGATAAATTTAGCAAGTTCTATCACCCGATCCATTTGACATCTGACGGATTTGCTGAATGGCAAATAGTAACTCCTTAGGTGTTTGATAAATCTCACGTACTGTCAACTGCACTTTAGTGATTGCTTATGATGCTTTCTGTATCAACAGCTCTGCATGTCTGGGTTGGGTTGGGTTATCATCCGAGATTTAGTAATATTTGTTAACTACAGACATGATAACCCAACCTTACCCAACCTAGAGGTATAGAACTGATGATCAGTAGTAAGTTACGGCCAAACAAACATGACGACCCAACCTTACCCGCTACAGGGACAACGACATACTAGGAACTGATCTGCGCCTTGCTGTTGACAAAATTCTTTAGGAACTACTATTTGTCATCCTATGTGCTGAATATTGTGTGTTATGTGATAAGAAAAGGCAACCGAGAAAGAACAAGAAAGATTGTTTCGAACTAATTCTCATATTAATGTACTTTCCTTTGTAATGGCGTGCACTTCTTCTTGTGTTTCAAACGTCCAATGACCATTGTATAATATTTGACTACCTAAATAATTGTCGACTAGCTACTGTTTCAAATTCAAACCTTTCTATTAATGCTGGAAATATTCCAAAATCGTGTTTGCTGGAAAAACACGAAGAAAATGATCTTTTAAGACATTTTCAGTTATACGATTTATTACTAACTCACTTGAGCGATAATTCCACATATTCGGTTTGAATTTTCTTATTTGGACATTCTGTGTGAAAGTATTCACTTTCAATCCGGTATTTCTGAATTTGTTTGACCGAATAAAAAACGGACTGGTCCACCGAAGCGTATATATTAGAGCTGTGATTGTTTCGTGTAATCAAATTTTCATCCGATAGCTATTGAATTCGTCCGTAAAATCATTGGATTTTATACAATTTTTTAAATGTTTTTCAGATGACGAAACAACACTTCAGCGAAGAAACATATCAGTGGTGCCGTTATAAAATCGTTATATAGTAAAGTCGGTTTTAAAACTTAAATATTTCGTTCAAAAGAAAACTTCGTTTGTAGAATGTGCGCGCATAGAAATGTAAAATTTAGAATACAACCAAAATAACTGAAAAATCTATTTAATCCACTTCTGTCTTTGTAATGAATGTTTCGTCTTCAAGAACCTACAGAGAAATAGATCATTTTTAATGTAATAGAGAACTAGTAGGTGAACGGGCGTTAATAAACCATGTGGAACCGGTTGTTGAACTCCCCCTCACTTGAAGAGAAAGTGACAGTTATAAACTAGTTCTTCAACGCCCGTTTTATGGACTCTGCCAAGCGGGCTTTTGATCTCCGTTAAATGCAAATTTGTGAACGGGTGTGGAACGGACACAGTTGAGCGGACAAAAGTCTAAGTGAATTTTCGACTACTACACGCATGATTCAACTTTTGAGAATGTGATCCTCAAGACAAGGAAGGTATATAAACAAGGAAATCAGGAACAGAAAAATGACTTTATATCGCTGCTTATGCTTTATTTTCACTAATTAAAGTAGGTATCCTTGTCTCCTGATACTAATGCTAGATGAGAACTGGCACGAAGTACATCTGACAATTATCCATAATTTAATAAAACTATATTGCGACGACTTACTAGAACAATAAATCAGTCGCTTTAAGAAAGATTGCGAAGAGAGCCTTTTTCACTATTAGTACAGTTCATAGTGAAAGCTATTATTTCATTGTTCTATGATCAATAGTCAAGCCTGTTGTCAGTTTCAGTTGCAGATTTTGTAAGATTATTAACATCTTTCACTCCCTTAACAAGTTATCAAAAATAATATTTTGTTACTTTTCATTTTTTTTGCGTTTTTATAGCGACAGTCATATGTCATCAAGACAGCTATCGATACTAACAAGTTTATTTTAAGAGAAAAGAGAAAGACTCCACCTTTATTGTTTGTTAATATTATTTTATTTTTACTTAATTAGCTGGATATATGGACGATAGTAAGCATTAAAGAAGAAGATGATAAATACGGAAAATAGTTTAGTTTATTTAAGAACTGGTAATGGTGTATACCTAATCTTGGCCCAAGATTAGATATACGGTAATCTTATTCACATCTCTTAAACCTTTCAGTTGTTCAGATGTCTTTCAGTTGTTCTGTACTTTAAAGGTTTCATTTAACTTATTCACTTCTTAATAAAATTCGAGTTTTA